GATAACTATAACTATTTATTTGCTGCTTCGCAATTAGTACTCTACATACAAAATTCATTTTATATTTATTATTTTCTCTAAGATATTATATGCTAATATTTTACTGATAAAACTTTTAGAAATGTGATTTGATTCAATCTTGCAAAATCAATTTTTAATAAAAAATGTATATATAATTTATGACATTTTATTTTTTAACAATTCATTATCATTATTCACTCGCAAATTACAGTAAATAACCTGTATTATTTCGTGATTTCTTTGAAGCAGATTTTACGTGTAAACTGTTATAACAATATCGTTTGTCAGACTTTTCAAGGAATAATGCGAGGTAATTATAACTCGATAAAGTATCTCTTTATACTTTACACGATTAGTACGCCGCAAGCACATCGTCTAGTTTAACATGGCTTAAAAAATATTACAAAAGCGAGTCCCTGTGCCTTATAATTTTTATCAAATCTATAAAAGAAACTGTGGTATCTAAGGATACTTTATTTTAATATTTGTGGAGAATTATTTTTTTACATATTTTCAAGTATTATTTATATATATATATATATAAATAATAATTTATTCATAAATGTATGAATAATAATTATATAATAAAGTTATAAAACGATTCCAATAGTTAAACAGTTACACAGAATATTGCAGAGTGTCCAAATATTTTGTAAAAATTATCAAATATATAATTTAAGTTATTATATATAAAATTTAATTCTATTAACATATATTTGCAAAGAAAATTTAAAAATAAATTTTATAAAAACTAAACGATACATGTATGGAGTATATACAATTATTCAGGTTATAAATTATTAATAAATAAGTAGATTAAATTTTCAATCTTCAAACATTTATTATATCATTGAAAAAAAATAATTGGTCTGTTCCAACATACAATATGATCCTAAGATATCACAGTCTCTTCTATTTTGTAACATTCAAAGCTTGTCAATATATTTTTACTGCAAGCACTTAACAGTCGTTCCTTCTGTATATTTCATGCAAGTACTATCTATATTAATGAAATATAAAAAAGTAAATAAGAGAGCTTAATTATATATATAAAAGTATGGGATCTATCGTTGCCATTTAGTTCTAACTGGGCAACACTATAGTGACAGTATCAAGAGACAAAGAGTCTTGCTCCTGTTGCAACTCCTGCTGCTGCAAACTCTGCTGCTGCTGTTCCTGCTCCTGCTGTCGCGCGTTTTGTTTCGCATGAGTTTTTAGATGCGAGTTTAGCATAGTTTTAGAAGCAAAGGATTTGTGACAGCACGTGCAGGGATAGGGTCGATCGCCCGTATGACCTCGCAAGTGTACTACCAACGTAGTCCGTTGTGTGAACCTTTTGTAGCAGTGTGTGCACTGATGTGGCTTCTCGCCAGTGTGCGTGCGACGATGCACGCTCAGATAGTTTTGCGAAATAAAACCCTTGCCGCAGGTATCGCAAATGTGCGGCTTCTCGCCGGTGTGCTTGCGCAGATGCACCGCTAGATAAGTCTTGCTGGACACCGACTTGTCGCATATCGGACACACGTATTCGTTCTGTGGTCCGACGTTCCCGTGCGTCTTCATGTGGACCAGCAGCACCTGCTTCCGGGAGAAACGCTTGTTGCACAGATGACAATGGTGCTTCCTCTGCGGCGGCACGTAGTCTGGTTGATGTAGTTTCGCGTGCAGTCGTAGACCCTGACGGTAGCGAAATGTAGCGTTGCACACGTCGCATTGAAACGGCTTGTCCGGCACGTGCGACAACATATGTACCTGGCAGTTGCTCTTGCTTTGGAATTGTTCGCCGCATACCTCGCACTGATACTTGTACTCGGTCGAGTGACACCTTTGATGGTCAATCAGATTTTCCTTATGCGAGGTCACGTAATCGCAATCATCGCAGCTATAACATTCCTCGTGTTGCTCCTTCTGGTGCTCTTGCAGCTCCGACATCGTCGAGAAACTATAGCCACAATTCTCGCAGACCAATTGATCGTCCTGTGACCGCGCTCGTCCCTCGAAACAAGACTCGTGCGTTTCTTGATGTAAATTAAGAGCCTGATCGGAGGGAAAACTTTTGCCGCAGAACTCGCACTGCCTAACAGTTTCATTAACGAGTACGTCCGTCGTCGTATCCATCTTCGTTACGTTTAATGAGTCCGCTATCAGTAACTGCGTGTGGCCCTGGATAAAGACATGCTTGATTTCACCGGATCCGCATCGCTGCCGATCCTCGGGCAGCATCCTGAGTTTTGATACAATATATCTGGAAAGAAGACAGACACAAACGGGAGTCAATGAAACGTGCTCGTGCCTCGTTGCCTTTTCGTTCTTTATCGCTGCCTTAACGAGGTAAGCGAGATATTTACAGGGACGATCTGCTGGACACTCGTGCTCGATTGTATGGAAGTTGGGTAGTCAATAAAGCGCTTCTCACTAATGATATTTCTAGCATTTTCTTTATTACGTAGTCATCTCCTACCTTCTACCTTTTCTTTACTGTCTTATCGCTTAAACAATGCTTATTTGCGAGCGAACACCGTCGTTTATTGTTGCACTAATTGTTGTACTAGCTTGTTTATGCGATTTTGTATAGAATAATCCACGACTACAAAATACAACTAATTATATTCTACATTTACTTAATACTATGATAGATTTATCGTGTTTATGTCCTATTAATTAATTGATAAGAGATGTGGACATTTTTACAATATTAATCTATATTAATAATCGCGTACTATGTCCTATAAGTGCACAAAACTTTATTTTATAATTATTGCTTACAGTATGTATAAACTATTGTATTACTATCGTTTATAGTTTTACGGAAAACCATAAGTTCAACTTGACAATTTTGATTTTTTTTATTTAGTAAAAGTTTGAGAGAAAATATTTGTTATTTAACATTGTAATTTAAAACGTTATATATTCTTTAAAACATGTGATCTAAATAAAAAATATATCAAATTAATTCAATTAGAAGTGTATGAAAAATACATCTTGATGTCCACGCGTTAAAAAATTTAATTTAATCCTTTGATTTTCTATTATTTATTATATATATATATATATATATATATATATATATGTGTGTGTGTGTGTGTGTGTGTGTAATTCACATTAAGTAATTCAGCTTCCAAGATTGGAAAAAAAAACATAACATAAACATCTCATATAACACAATTGTATAAATATAGCTCCATTTTTATGTCTATTTTACATAATTTGTTCATAAATCTTTAGAAATAAATTGTTAATTTTAATATATTTATTAATATTTTATATTCTGTAAATAATAACAAACTATGAAATTTTCCTTTTGCTCTAGAGAATATCTAGAGAAAGAAATAAAGAATCAATTAATTTTAATTAATTGATGGCAGAGGTTTTCATGTGTAAATATCTTTTGACATTGTGTCTTTTGTATCAATTAAACATTATTAATAAAGCAGTGATAGCAATTTTGTAAAATTTGCGCAAATTATTTAATGTTAATATATTAATTATACACAATTTAATTATTTGTAAAGAATAAAAAATATCAAGCTTAAATAATCGATTGCTGTAGATAAAATGATAGAAATGTATTTATACACATTTATATTGCACTTCTTATCAATCTCACAACTTTATAAATTATATAAAACATAAAAAATTGATAATATAAACATAAGAATTTAACTTTAAAATTAAATGTTTTAACTCTAATATTTTTTTCCAAAACTTTTTAAAATTCTCTAATTATTTAAGAAAAAAACAAATTATTTTCAAATACAAGACTTTGGTTTCCAAAAATTCGAATAAAAAGCTCAAGTTTAAAAGATATGGTCAATTGTAACTAAATATTAACAATATATGTATATTAAAACATATTTATGCAGAAAAAATGTAGTTTATGATAATATTACATTAACAGAAAACGTATATTTATAAGAATGAAGCTGATGAGAATCTCTCTGCAAAATTATTAAATATTGACATTTACTTTATCTTATCTATTAAAGTTTTATTTTTGAATTACGAATAATTTCTATGATTAATTCTCTAAATATTTAAGCGTCTTCATACTTACATTTCACATTTATATAATTAATATTTTAAGTTTTCTTTATTTCTACCCTGTCTTTCGTTCTATATTAATCAAAGGCACCTGAATTCAGTTTTGTTTACATTAAATAAAATATTAATTACTGTATTTTATATATTAGCAAATTATTAACGATTTAACTAATATAATTAAAAATTTAATCGCAAAGTATAAAAAATACTTATTAATTTATTTTCTTCAACAAATTTTATTTAATTTTATTTATAGTTTAACTTCTCACACATAAATGAAAAAATTTAGAAAATTTATGATTTTTAGGCACTTTTTTCATTTGATTGTGGCGCAGGTACTTTGCTTATTCAAAACTAAATTATACACATCAACTTTATATAGGAATAGAAATTCCGCGTCACATCTAATAATAATATTAACATTATCCTAAATATTTCGTATAATATACAAACAATATCACAATGATGACAACATTTATGATTACAGAATATAACTGTCGATTTGTTTTTATCGTGATTCTAATTCAATCATTAAATATATTTTATCCGAAACTATATAAAGTTTAAATCACGTTAGACGCGTTTGTAAAAAATTAATTTACATGCACTGGTCATATTATATATCTAGTTATTTATTATACTGCGATAGTAACTTGAGTATTAATAATTTTAGGCACTTAGACATCAACATTCTTGAACAATTCTAAAACAATTTTTACAAAAACAGACAAATTCCAAATAAAAATTGATAAGTTTTTTTATAAAAACATTTAACAATTATATTTAAAAAAAATTACATAGTCATCAATTAGAATTTGTACTTCAACGAAAACAAAATTCTGCAAATATTTAATTTTTATAAATCTTTTTTTCATTCAAAAAATCTTTTTACTATATCAAATTTAACATTAAATTTGATATAGTAAAAAGATTTAATATAAATTTTATAATATTCTCTTTTAGAATGTTGATGAAAAAATAAGACTTTGAGATCAAATAAGATTCATATCAATTCATTTTTTTCTTGTTTCTACGGTCAAAAGTTGCGTCTCGAATTTAATCACGCGCAGTAAAAGATTGTATTGGTCAATTGACACATCTCAGTGCTTCTTCATATGATTAAGCATGATCGTTCGCGTAACAAATCCTTTTCCGCACAACGTACAGGTGTACGGACGCTCTCCCGTGTGATACCGACGGTGTACCGTGAGAGTCGATGCCTGCGTAAACGATTTGCCGCACATGGCACAGAGATACGGCCTCTCGCCGGTGTGGATGCGTTGATGCACCACGTAATACTTGCGATGCGTGAAACCCTTGCCGCACACGTCGCAGACCAGCGGCCTCGACCTGTGCACCGCCTTATGGGTGGTCAGGGACTCGGCAGTGGTGAATTGCTTGGAGCACGAGTCGCAGGGATAAGAAGTCATGGACTTGGCGGGGATCACGGGACTGCCGAGATTGCCGATCACAGGATCGACCACGGGCAACACCGCGTTCGTCCCGATGATCCTGGCGTCGTTGTTACCTGCCGGCAGCGGTCGATGCGTTTTCGCGTGATGATTGTACAAGTTGCGCGTCTCGAAGCGCATCAAGCATCTCGGACAGGAGTAAGGTTTGTCCTGGCCGATCTCCTGATGCATCCTCCGATGACGTTCCAACAGGGTGCGGTATCGAAAACTGGCCTGACAGAGATCGCAGGCGAACGTTTTCTCCATATTATTGCCGGACGGCGGGATATTGGCCGAGGTCGACGTGCACGAGGTCATGGAGGACGCGGAATGCGTGACCTCGTGCATCTTCAGATGGCTCAGGGCAACAAAAGTCCGCGAGCAGACGGCGCACGAGTACCTCGGCTGATTCTCGATATTATGCTCGTACTCCTGGCGTACGACGTGACTCGTTCGCATGTGATAGTTTAGCTTGAGAGCGCTTCGAAACTCTAGACCGCACGTCGGGCAGGGATAGGACTCGGCGAGGATCTGTACCTGATCGAGCAGGGATTGATCTGAGGGGCACATGGATTGAAAATGCGGGGGAAGCAATGTCGACGACAGCATCGACGACGATTGGTTCGTGAATATGGAGTTGGTCTGTAGAAGATTACAATTGACGCCGGCCTCCCCGATCTCGGGCGAAGGCGAAAGAATCTGACGTAGCATCCCTGACAATCCGCCGAAGGTCTCGCCTCCTTCCCTGAAATTGACAAAACCCAAGGACATTGCAACGGAGAATGACCCGTGGGCACACACACAGCTTTTTGTTTTTTCAAAGATTCTGCTGCTTTTTGTGATTATTACAATATATCTTGCATACAGGCGGTGATAAGAAAGAGAGAGAAAAATAGAGAGAGAGACAGGACAGAAAAAAAGATAGATCTTATGCTTATGTGAGTGCTGCAGGTGGCCGGTGCAAGGTGCTTGGGCGTTGCTGATATCTCTCGAGACGCAGCGATAATGATGTGTACAAGAAATCGTACGTGCGAATCGAGAAAGTCGTCGTGATTTGTCGTCAAGTCAAACAGCTTAGGAAGTTTCATCACTCGCTATATATATATAATATAATATCCATCAAGCTTTCCGAATTCTTAAGAATCTTACAATATTTAACTACAATTATATAGATAAATCAAAGAGAATATAATTGTAAGCCTATTATCTTTTTACTCTAGCTTTATATTCATTAATTATTAATGAATATCGTTCGAATTATAAATAATCAGAGAAATAGTATGTACTACACACAAAAATTGTATATAAAATATTTCCTAACAATAGCAGAAGAAAAAAGTAAAGATTAAGCCATAAAACTTGGCAAGAGTTCGAGAAAAGCAAATTTTTACTTAAGAAATCACTCTGAGACTGGAATAGAAAATATTAAAACGCAAATAAGTTAGTTACAGAGAAATCTCACCTTTATAAATAATCCATTATGATGAGGCATCTTCTTCTCAGCACAGAATAAAAGTGTATGATTTTTTTTACACATACACACGTATATACTTATATTCAACACCTTAATAGTGTTTAATATATCACAGGATGTATTTATGTAAAATAAAATAAAAATGCAGTTAAAAACCGCAGTAAAAATAAAATATAAAAAAGAAAATCAAATATATTATTCAGTATTTTACAGTAAAAACTGACAATTTATAAAAATTTAACATGATAAAAGTATATAAATAAAAAATGCAATGTCAAACTTTCATATGTCAGATATTCACTATACTCAGAACTGAATAGTACGATTTTCTTCATTCACAAATGTTTAAGAAAATTCATTATATAAAATGACATATTCAGAATATGTCTAGAAAATACCAAATACTGCAGCCGATTTGAATGGCGCATAAAAATATTTAGTGAAATATACATATATATCCTGCATATAAATTATTCCGAATATAACCGGCGCAATTATACAATGCAAGCCTGGTCATTATTTGTTAAAAAAATAAAAATAAAAAAACTTCTGTTTAGAATCGCGCTATAATCTTTTTCACACTTATGTGGAAGCGCGCGAAACAATGCGCGCAATCCAAACAATGTGCATGAAAAAAATCTATAACTCATAAAACAGCGTGAAAGAATTCATTCGGCATCAAAAAATGACTCGCTTAAATCTGTCGATACAAATTCGCGTAACGGCACTATTGTTACAAGTGCGTAATGTTTCGTTTTGCATATAAGAAACACAGAAAGTCTATGTATAAAATATAGACTGTAAAATGTGCAAAAAGAATGATACTCGCCTTTGTATAATCCTCTTGACTCGATGCAGTTTCTTAATGGATGATTTTTTCTTTTATTTTGCAGAATCTTCGAATTGAAAACATGTTCCTTGATCTTCTCCAACATTGAGGTACATTTTAACCGATTATCTTCTCGGTTATAACTACACTATTTCGCAAATAATTGTTTCGCTTTCGAGGATTGAATACCGACCACGCAAAATTGACTAACGATCTCGTGGGATACGTATTTTTATGTCGATTAAATAATAACTCTTAAGATTAATCGCAACACTAATATGTAATAATACAGTCCTGGCAATATCGTAAAGCGCAGGCATCGGAAAGCACGAAGATATAAATCAGAAACGGTAGATAGGTAGGTATACGTTGCATCAATTAAAATATCTATCGTCTGTGATTTTTGAATTGACCGAATATCGGTCATTTAGTGCGGCATTTAGTGCCATCACGTAAGCGTGGGAATATTAATATCGACAACATGTATTTGATTTCTGAGTGGACAGAGAGATCAAACTGATTACCCAAAAATAATAAGTATTGTGAGAACAAGAAATTGTTTTTTTTTTTTTGCATGATACATCCATATCTATATATAGATAATAATCCAGAGAAATCTCTCTGTCCATTTTAATTGCACATTTATAAATAATATCTAACACATAAAATCCATTTCGAATAAAATATATAAAATTAGTATATTGATTATATGCATTAATTATATCAACACACAATTTTAAAAAATATTTGTTACATAGAGAATATTGATGTTAACATATTATTTTATCGAAATGCACTTTATATATGTACATGCTACCACATGTAAGAGTAACAAGATGCTTAGCAATTTGTACATTCTTGATATTTAAATAATCTTCCTATGTTTCTTCTTGAAAAAAATATTCAACATTACTTTAAATATGCAAAGATATTAAATAAAAAATATTTGTATAAATTGCTAAACGTCTAGGACCAAAGATGGTTGTGGGGTGTGTTTAAACTTACCTTGCGTTTTTCTGCGCTAATATTTTTATGATCAAATACATTCAAATATCATTGTTAATTATAATCTTATATTGATTTTATTTCTATTTTATGCAATCGATAATTTTTCAAAATTGTAATCAATGCATATAATTGCAGGCATTTAAAGCAATATATATTCTCAACTGCGCAATATAAAATTAATTTCTTTAGAAATAGATATGCATATGCAATATTAGGTCTATTCGTTTTGACTACATTGGCTACACTAATTCAGAGGTTGTCTTTTTTACTCTATATTGGAAGGAAAAAGATAACCTCTGAATTAGTGTAGCCAGTGTAGCCAAAACGAACAAATCTAATATATATATATATATATATATATATATATATATATATATATATATATATACATATATATTATCTTTTATATATATTATCTTTTATATATATTAATATTATATATATGTATAACTTCTATTTTCATATTTCCAAAACTATAATCTTTTATATCAATTTATTATTATAATGTCTTAATTAAACAATTTTATTATAATCATTAATATTAATAAAAACTAGTAAATGTACAAAATTTTGCTCAGATTAAATTAAAAAAACCACGTTATAATAAATAAAAATTAAAAATAAATAAAATCAAACACAATGTTTTGTGTTACTGTTTATGTTCACCACAACAAATAACATCTTTGGCCCTTACATAATAAATTAAAAACAGAACTCACCCAGTTTTTGGATCCACGTCTGTTGTCTGTGACATTACCATCTCGGGCATATCAGCAATTTTTTGTTGTTGAAGTCCAGATGGACCCGCCTCGTCGCATGCCAGAGAGACGTTAACAAATGTTGTAGGCTCGATAGTTCTACTATTATTAGGGTCTTCTTCACTTTCTTCTTTTATAGGTAGGCCTTAAACATAATTAAGGTTTTCTTTTTATTTCTTCTCTTTTTTTATAATTTCAAATTATCTAATAATATATTAATTATATAAATTGTACAGACGAAATATAAGGTATATAGCACAAGTATATACCTTCATCTCCATCGCATTCATCATCCGAGTTTTCATCTTCTTCACTACTTTCCTCTTCTTCTTCTTGCTGCGTGGATGTATTTGTTTGATTCTGTGTAATTTGGTCATGTGTCGCTTGTGTACTTGGTCCAGCTACTGGTTGGACATTTTGTACAGAGCTACCACTGTTGTCTATAGGAACTGAGGTTATTTGTTGTTGGGTACTGCTTGACATCATCATAGGCATAGTCAAACCCATATTGTCCATCATACCCATAGTCATATTGTTCTGATGTTCGCTTACTTGTTGCATCACAGTACCATCTAACCTGTTCTCGTTGTTTTGATCTGGCTTCATTCCGTTCTAAAATTAATAATAAAAAAAAATATATAACACAATATTTTATATTTATCAAAAGTTGAAAGTTTCAATGATAAATTAAAAAAAATATATTTCTAATATTTTGTATCTGGTCATCTGATTGAATCTTCATTAATACTTATAATTTTTTATACTAATAATTAAACAGATATATATATATATATATATATATATATATATATATATATATATATATATAATATAAGATTTAAATATATTTGAAAGAACTTACATATGTACAATGTACAAAATATTGAAATCACTAGTTATTATCATTGCTATGGGTAAACATAGACAAATGAAGACTCTGACAAAAGACAATCTGTGCATTTATATAAGTTGTTTCAAATTTTTTAAAATTATATATGCTACATTTTATCTTCCATAAATTTGTGAAGAAGAAGATTACAAAAGGATAAATAGATATCATAATTACTGGATTGAGAACGTTGCCAACGTAACCCTGTTTGTCTTCCATGTTTACCTCGCCTAGCCATTGTAGTAACTGTTTCTCTGCGTTTGCTGTCGTATGCCAAAATTGATAAGTTAATTCTAGTTTATATACACACTCGTCACATATCTTTTTAGGTAATTTGTCTTCTCTGGCAACCTATAATAACAAAAATTATGTAAGATTCTACCATTATAAAATTTATATTGCAAAATTTTATTAACATTAAACATTTTATTACGTTTTTTCTTAATATTATCTTTAGTAAACCATTGTACAAGCATCATGCTTATCTCCAAGAGCAATAAGAAATATCTCTAGTGAATTGAAAGCCAATTTATAATGTTAATGATACATTAATGTAATTGTAATTTTTCTGCAAAATCTATGCATAAATACATATGCAAATTAGCATTAATCATATGATAATAAGCGTGAAATTAATGTTCCGGTAAGTAGAGTTTAAATGAAAATATTGATTTCAATAAAGAGCAGGAAGTTAACGTTATAGGTTTCGCGAGCGTAGACAATGTCGACAGTAAGATGTCGAGGAAACATCGACGACTAAAATTAATATTGATTTCGCCGTTTGCGACATAAAGATATTAACTACTGTTTCCTGATAAAAATCATATAATCATCGCGTCGTTCATATCAAGGGTAAATGATAAGCCGCGTTCTTAGCCGACTGCATCTAGACAAAAGCGCGGCAAAAGTCCACGGAATAATTAGTGGCGTCGCAAAGCCAACAAGCATAGAAATGGAGCTCGATGTAAATCTGATGTGAACCATGCAATGGACACCGGAAAGATACGTTATCTCAATTTACATTTATCTTTCTCTCTCTCTCTCTCTTATCTACAGAGCAATTCAAAGAAAATGCTCGAATGAACAAAAACCGACTCTCCGCAAGGCGAGATCAAGGAGTCCGGGGCCTCTGAAGGTTCACAAGATGGCAGGTCGCCATAGTTGTACGTGATGGCGTAGTTGGCTTCTTACCTTGACCGGCAAACAAGCGGTGATCTTGAGAAAGATCTGCCGTATGTCGCCCTCGCCTTCGAAGATCGGCATAGAGACGCGATCCTTCACGAGACACAGCCGACACAGGTCCAGATAGTCGAGGGAGGACATTTTACCGCGTAAAACGCCAGCTCGAGACGCAAAGCCGCGCCCGTCCACGCGAACGCCGTTTGCAACGAATCCGAAGAGGGGACCGCGTTGTTCGACTACGCGTCGCTTGCTCAACCTGCCTCGGCCGCGCTCGGTCCCGCTCGGCCGCGCTCGGCCGCGCTCGGCCGACGTCGGGGCCGCTCGGCAGCCGCGTTCGCGTATCGATCCGCTCCGGCCGAAGCCAACCGCCTTCACACACGACAGTCCCGGAACGACGCGAAGGTTCTTTTTCTTCAAATGCATCTGCGAATCGATCATACGGGGACGCTCCGATTTTTTTCCCTCCGGAATTCTCCAAAATTATTCCCGCAATTCTTCCAAGGACGAGCATCCGATAAGATTTCGAGTCGCGATATCGAGATTAATCGAGGGAGCGCGGCGCGAAAAAAATTGAAATTACAAATTTTTTAAATCAATTTTAATCATTCGAGCACATTTCGCACACGCGAGATTTCTTTGTAAGAGAATAAAAGAAACTGCTCTCGGCTTCATTATTTTACTCTTTTCAGAATTGATTGATCGGGCAGGTGGCTGGAAAAGGTCGGCCGAGTGCATGCTGCTATCAAGTTTTCATGCTCAATTACTCCCACTTTAGTTATATGTTCAACGACGCATGATCAAACCACCGCCTAAGGTTTATCGGCAAACCGAGGCCGGAAAATGTTGATGTGTTCATTGTTTCTCATATAGATTTTATCTCCGCTTAATCTCTGCAATGCAAAAATTATGCACATTGATTATTTTGAATAATTATTTGTTGGAGCAATTTTTTCGCATATAATGATAGTTAGTCAATCATTTGGACGTTAAATTATGCTTATAAAACAAAATAAAATGTAGTAGATTTATCTATAAATTAAGAAAATATCTGTAAATTAATATATAATAAATTCAGAAAATATATCTTTCAACATTTTTGTAATTAAGAAAAAAAACTCAATTTCTTACTTTCGGCTAGAGATAAATTGAAATTTATGATACGGTACTGTATGAAATAAGAATAAAACAAACCAAGAGAAGAGAAGAGAGACGTAATGTCATGTCCCTTTGTCGTGTCGATTTAAGGTGCTTTCATACAAAATTCATATTGTTACATCATAATCGCAAACTTTAATTCATTTTCTTTCAACACAAACAATTTAAAAAATACGGAGAGAAAGAGGGAGGGAAAGAAATAACTGATAAAATTAATTTTTGCTTAAGGAAAATTCAATTATTTATATAATTCATTTACCGTCTGATTGTAATACACAACAGTTTGCTCACATGTGTGAAAGCGACTTTACTCCATCGTAGAAGATATCAATGACCTCTCATGTTCTTCCCTACGCTGCATTGGCTGTGTTTTTAACGATGCTGTAAATAAAAATTAATTTGTTCTCTCTATTACACATTGAAGATTTTTTATCCAATTTTTTAAATTATTATTTTATTTTCTAAATTAAAAAGAGAATCATATTATTTAATACGTTCAATACGTAAAAATGTTGACTTCTAACTTTTCTTTATACAAGGAAAACTTGTGTACAACATTGATATGTATAAAAAAATATATATAATTAATTAAAAAGATTATTTAAATATTTTCTTAATGCAATATCTGAATATATATGTCTCGTAGACTACTGTGAATGTAATACATTGAAAAATTATCATTCTTACATATATCTCATAAATTAATTGCCATATAAATAGGAGAAAAAAGTACTGCGGCTGTAGATAAAAAAAACTGCTTTATTGTGGCAGAGCACATGTATCATTATATATCAGCACATATATATATATATATACATATATATATCTATATATATGTATATATATACATATATATACACGTATATATATATAATAGGAAGAGTCCATAATAATTTACAAATTACGATCCATTTAAATGTCATTACACATGGCGGTGTGTGCAGGCAGGGGATTTGAGAACCAATTCTGACCAATCTCTTTCACGTTTTATTTTCAAATTTCACCTTTTCTCATTTTGTTCTTACTCTCCCTCAAACTTTTTGAACGTCAAACTTTGCGTCTCGATCATGAGTGGCTTTTTGAAGGCCCTTGAAGGATACGCTATTTTATAATACATGAAAACAAGAGATATGTAGTCTCCTTTCTGTCAGTTATTTCATCGAAACTGTGGCCATAAATTATTCGAGGAACATTGTGTATGAATCTTTCCTTGTATCTTACAATATTGTTATTAGTGTCGCAAATCATATTATTTTTCGCATGTATTCGAGATATTGAAAATCAGCTGTTTTCTGTCAACACACCCTTGAGAATTTGTCTTCTTTCTTGAAAGAAACAGGCGATCAATTTTCTACTTGTTGATTCATTCGGTCAAATAATTTATTGGATGCAATCTCTTTCACGATAAAATTGTTTTACATTCCATCGTTGTTATCGGAAGATATAGCCGATGAATTATCATAAATAGAATAGAAGCATGAAGTGTTATAAATTTTGAAGATACAATGTCCGAATACACTTCTGCGTGTACTTATTTTATACTTTGTATTTTTTCCGCGATTTAAAAACGCGCAATTGATAAATCGATTAAGATCACGATAAAATTGCAGTATTTCGATGCTTTTAATTAATTAATTAATTAATCGACTAATTAGTTTGTTAAATTCGTAACTATGTACTTACATTTTACGCTATTATAATAATAGCAAAAATTGCATGAATGTTTGAATCTTTTTTTTTTTAATTCCATATCTCTGTGATTATTTCATAAATGTAAATTTACACAGCTATTACAAGTATTATTGTTTATATTTGTGTAAGGTAACATTAATAGTAGACTCTTCGTATCCGTTACCTACTTATTAATACAAAGTTAAAAATGCACGAAGTTTAAATCTTTCTTTAAATCTGCGAATGTGTGTTCCGCTGAGTGTATGCACGTGCATATTTGCATATGCACGTTACACGTGCACAAAGCACATGGTTGATTTACATCTGGCACTTGCCTGTGCTGTTGCTCCTCTCTGAATTTTCCGGAAACCCAAATTAAAAGAACGAATCAAGGGCTCCACAATATGGTATTAATATAAATTTTATATCGCATAAATATTATATTAATATGACACTTGATATGATAAGCAGAAGTAATAAATTATATCGTAAACGTTCGTGATCGATAAAATGATTATTACAATATTAATAATTTTTTAATATTTTTTTTTCATATTTCTCTTATCTTTGTAATGCTTTACACATGAGACGTTCTTTTAATTTTAGGTATCCTAGAATTTGGAAGGCCGCTGATGTATCGTTTCAAAAATTTTCAAACTAATTTTTAAACTAAGGACTATAGTCTATCCAACAGAACTAATAAAATAAAAGCATCGTGTCGAAAATGAACATTCTTGCATTTATTCAGAATAAAAGAATATTTTATATATTAAATATATTTTGTACAATTACTCTCCCCTGCCATGTAACAGCAATCCACAATGCTGTCGTACAATTTATTTTAAAGTTAGAGACATTGGTCACGAAAAACAATATGCAAGTAGTTCTCAGACATTATCTCTTATTACGTTCTCATTAACTAGACTATAGTCCATAAATGATCTTATATCATCAATATTGGGATTAACTAATTGTAAGATTAGCGTTGGTCGTAAAATCGTTGATAGTTTTAGCATATCTAATACATTTCACGCTGTATTGATGAAATTTGTTTAGGAAGCTGAACGACAAAACATCAATTGGGAAAGGCATGGAAGTGAACGTAATCCTATAGCAATTTCAACAAAGCGTATGTCTCTCTCTATATTGTACAATTTCCTCATATGTAAGAAGTGTCACACGTATGCTTCGATCTACTTCGACAACGTTTCAGCCACTATTTTCTATCTTTTCCATGTGTCACTTAAAATATTATTAATAAAGCAAAATTAATTTCTCTCTTACATAAAGATTACAGATAGAAAAATCGTAAGTAGTGTAATCTCGAGGGAATATTTTATATATATATATATATATATATATATATATGTATATATATAATTATATATAAATTCCGTTACAGGTGACTGTCGTTAAATGAAGATCGTCAAATTAGATACGAAGCAAAGCGTTTCAAGTGTATTTTTCTTTTCAGACAGAAATGCTTTATATATATTACAATATTATTATACAGTTAATAAAAATTTTTTTACGACGAACAGCGTTTTCACAATTTACAATTATTATCAATAGAAACTTCTCATATTCAGTTTTATGGCCATTTATATTATAATAATACACAAAATTATATATTCCTGTTTTATTCTTAGCACGATACGTAGATCGAAAGCAATCTCTTCACAAAAATAGGGAAATTGCATATAAATGTACTATCCTACAAATTTGTGAACTATATTTGCCATGTTGCTCTGTACTATTATTAATTGTTCGTCGATATTCAAAATTCTATTATATGACAATGAAAATTTTTTACTTAAAATAAAATTTATATTATATATATATATATATATATATATATATATATATATATAATGTTTAAATATATTTTATTAGCATTTTTTTCATACTTTTTCCCTTATCAAAGTAATACAGGTAATGGCAATTTAAACATATGCGATAAAATTATAGCACTGCGATATAATTAGTGACATTATTTGGATGTTTTTTTTTTCGAACGTTGCATTTACGATAACAATACATCATTTCATCCTGCATTTTAGCTAAATCGATGTGAACACAGTCCATTTAACATTTATTATTTCGCGAAATGTATAGATATATAGGCGAATATAAGAAATGTTCTCTTAGCAGCAAAATCATATTCTTTCAGATATATCAAATTTTCGCGATAAGCATATCTTAAGGAGAGAAAAATTACTTTATTGATTATTAGGAGAGATACTAGGTCAATCACGTAAATATATAATATGTGAGAAATCAAATTATACTGTTATTACTAATTAAGTTATAGTCTGACGATATATTATAGCAGTTTAATATATTCATCTATTTAATAATTAAGATCAAAAGCAAACGAGAAATCGTCTTTTGTCCAACTAATTCTATAGCTTCGATTATTATAAGCTCAATTACTTGTTTTCATAGAATGTTACAATAAATATAAAATATTATATGAAAGTGTATATAATTCTTGTATTATCTTAAAATGCTATATAATGTTCACCTGAGAATTAAAAAATTGTATATACCCGATTATTCAAAATTGTATTACGTTATGTGAAGACTAGCGCAAAATTCGATATAATAAACTACGAGTTTTAAGAACAAATGACGAATGTTGATTTCAAACTGTAAAATACCTATATATGTTGTTTTAAAAAGGTTTATGATCATTACTGCTATTTAGCTTAAACGAGTTGAAATGATGCGTCAAGGAGGGCGAATCAAATAAAAGTTACATCGACCATCGATTAATACAAGATGCATGGCTAATTATGTGTTCACTTAATTTATTTTCGTTAAATTTAATTTTTCTCTTAATACCTTTCTTATCTCATAAAAATCCTTTGCGATCTACGCGATCGCATTATTTGTTACTACCTATATAATATATATAAATAAATATATATATATATATATATATATATATATATATATATATATTACAGACTTAATTCGCCGTAATTAATGTTAATGAACGGGAGTAAGTTCTAGCGATTCTTTATCATCTTTTCTTTTTTTTTACCGTAGAATAAGATATTTATAAGTGAAATGGCGCAACCGACAAACGGTCAACAAGTACGGCTGTTTCATCGTAATTATGCTTGCTGTCATAAAGAAAAATTAATTTATATGTATATACATATAGATATATCATCGTAATTGATTGAAAATTGAAATAAAAAACTCACATGCAAGAGATTGCGCATCGCAGCTCCTTATAATCTGATGATCATATCCGCGTATATTCTCTAAATTGCATTTGGTCGTGATGTGTAAACATCAATGCTTTCAAATTTGTGTGATGTATGTGACCTAAATACTTGACTTCCCGAAAAATCTCACATCTTATAATTGATTTGAATGACAGGCCAATGACATTGCCACGAGAAAATTGCCGTACCCGTCGGCGTTTTCTTGTAGACCATCGATTGAATAAAGAAACTGTCTTCTATTTATGCTACTTATACATGTGCAATCCAGTATACGTCTTAAAAATATCCGAATAGGTTCTACTTTTCTCGATCAAAAGGCAAGAGAATTGTTCCGCTCGTGTTCATCCTATAGTATGATAACGCATCTATCGGGAATACGTACTTCTTGTTTCGATGGATTGACTCTTCGTAGGTAAACTGTAAACGATCAATTCGGGGGAGAAGCAATTCCTTCAATTTTTTCATTTCTCGCATACTCACCTCCGCGTCATGTCATCTCGGCCGAGCGCTTGTGTTTGAGGAGAGATCTACGGCAGCTAAAATCTACAACTCTATATATAGCTGTGGCCACTTTGACAATCTCAATCTGTACTTACAAATAATAATAAATGGAGAGTCTTCAAATTTTTGTTTGTTTGTTAGGAGGATATATATCACGTATTTCGCGAACCCGCATGATAATAATGTGACGTATCTTACAAGTATGTATTATACACATTTCTCCGTAAGATCGGAACGCTTCGTGTGTATCGTATACCTAAAATCGTAGTTTTTTTTTCTCTATATACTTTATATTATATACAAATTGTAAAATGTCTTCTCTTAATGGAAAAAGTCGTGTCGGTTTGTGTATATCTTCCTTTGGTGTGTATCTATTTATTTCTTTAATACTTCTCTCTCTCCCATGAGAACGAGAACGTAAGGTGTATTATATATATTTAGCGTTTGTATTGACGCATTCTTACATTTTTCTTTGCGCACACAGATGCATTTTCATTCGTGCACAACAAGTCGCATTCGCTCACGATTTCGCTCCAGCATGCGTGCCTCGCATTCGCTCCCTTTCGTCCTTGCCATTCGCGCTTTATTTTTTCGTATCTTTCGGCTGCAAGATACATGATCACCTCCAAACACACACACAGCCTTTTGTATGCGTACAACTTTTCAAGGTCTGCTCACTGTCTAATCGTACTTGCAACGTGACTCCGCAATTTTCATTCTATACGTATTTTCAAGAGACGATTAATTAAATATTCTACGCGAAAATATTAGGAAACTAGTGCAAGGATTATATTGCTGAATTCATTTTAATAATTAATGTGAGCTATTCAGCATTGACATTTGGACTTTTAATAAGAATAAAGGATCAATTTCCAATTGGTAAAAAAATTATAAATAAACGAGTATATGCGAGAGAATTTACATTAGTTTTTGTTAATAAGAAATAATCTTTATATATTCTTTCTTAAGGAAATAATTTCGACCAGTAATAGGTTGAAAATAACTTAGTTACAGTAAAAGTAATTTACACGTCTATAAATGTATCACACATATGTGCAGAATCTCATCGCACTTGATGATGCCAGCAAACGACACAGCCATTTATTCCGAATATCAGAACAGAAAGCTTCGTCTCGATCTCTCGAGGCAATTCTCATTTCTCGATTCTCATTCCTTATTCGGCTGCGCATACACGTTAGAAATTCATTTATCATTGAGTACTATATCCTAATATCTTCGGTTATGCGAACGTGAATAAACTTGAACGACAACGGTGTAGATCGCGAGAGAGAATGGAAGAATTACGCACCGCGTGTCGTGTTACGGAATCGGAAACGACAAACATCTTCATCGGAAGGAGCATTCGGCGCCGTTTGCTACCCTCGATTCGGATTCAACAAGTTCGAGTTGAACAAAGTCCCGGCGATCCAATCTCTTAACTATCTTATACGAGACCCAACTCTCGTTCGACGAGAGCGGAACACAGATAAAGGAGAGGGAGAGAGAGAGATAGAGAAAGAGAGAGAGAGAGAGAGAGAGAGAGAGAGAGAGAGAGAAAGAGATAGAGAGGAAAAAAGAAAGGGAGAGAGAGAAGAGAAAAAGATAGAGCGAAAGAGAACTCGTGGCGGTGATGATAGCGTCTCGACGACGATTAAAATTCGTTGAAATCGGCGGCCCTGATCGGGCAAAAACTCTCTCCCTCCTCAGACAGATTCTCGCCGCGGTTGCTCGTGGTAGTGATGCTGCTCTTGATCCAAGAGTACCACGCTCCTCGCGGCGGAGCAACGTCAAATGCTGGCGCGGTGCTGATAGAGCGGCGGGAACTGCAGGGTCGCGAGCTCGTCCCCGGGCTCCAGCTCGTCGTCGCCTTGCACATTCAACGCTGACAACTGTTGCATCGGCAGCAAGTGCGAGATCTTGCCGGGCGAGCGGCGCACCGTGAAGCGCGGTCTCCGCCGCTTTCTCTGAAAGCCGCTGCAGCGGCAGCTGCACACCGACGCCTCGTCGTCGAACGACAACGCGTTACCGTGATTGCCGATCTGGCCGGATAATATCGAGCCGTTCGCCGTTATCACGTCGCCCTCGAGACGTACCGCGCCCTGGGCCGCCTGCGACAACATACATTCCTTTCACTATCTATACAGACATTTCTTATCGATTTTAAATTGCAACATTTGCTACGTTAGCCAATTTTTACGCTAAAAAGAGGGCTATTTTAAATATCCTTAATAGCACAACATATATCCGAAAGATATTCAGAGGACATTCGAACATCTTCGGGATATGTGTGCTGTTGGGGATCTGCATCATAAAACAATGCAGAGAATTCATACATCGACTACGTTCTGTGTAAAGTAGCGTCCATCTGGTTTGAAGGAACGCTATCTAATAATACGATTTATTGATGTTACTGATAAAAAACATTCATCAAGTATATACTTGAACGTTTATTTATTCAGCATTAAATATGCGGGAGAAATAAACCAATTTATGTATATCTTTGATAGAAAAATGAGTTGTGTACCTGTAACGCTTCGGCCTCGTCTCGTCTCTCGTCCTCCGTATTCATGGTGACGAATCTCAGAACCAGCAAATTAAGCGAAGCCGCCACGATCGCCAAACCGAAGAGAATAAATATTAGAGCGAACATCACGTATTCGGGCTTCGTGTTGAGCGCGTTGTCCTTTTGCAGCGCGACCATATCGCCAAAGCCGATTGTCGTCAGAGTAATAAAGCAATAGTAAATAGAATCGAAGTAGGACCATCCCTCGTATCTGGAGAACGCGGCGGCACCACCAGCGATGGTCAAGCAGGACAATGTCGTTACCACGCAGATGAGATTTATCTCCGAGGCCTGCAATAAACACCATAGATTCGTATTAAAAAATAATAATAATAATAACTGTTATCACGAAAGAAAAAATAAAAACTATTGTCACGAAAGCATTGACAAAAAATGAAGTACACATCATAAGTAAAATAAGTTACAGAATAATCCACACAATTTCACTATTTGTATTGTTTTATAAACAGCCATTCATTATTATTCATTACTATTTTAAATAAATGTTTTTCGTTGCAAGTTTAATTAAATTGTGATTCGTGTAAAGTGAATTCGAAAGTTGTCAACAATTTTAATCACATGTCTCATACACTCGAGCTTAAGATAGAACGTGTGCACTCCTAGTTTCACTGAATCTGTTTGAATTGCATGTGAAATGTCTGACGATGAGCGTTGTTCGACTAAGCTATTGTTACCTGGACGTCCTTACAGTTTAGGAGCTGCTTTACACTCCGTATCACGACAGATGAGAACTTATTCAAGCGTTCTCCTATGCTCTGGAACATTACGAGTCCTAATGGGATACCAATAATTGCATAGCACATTGTGAACAGTTTGCCGTATATAGTATTCGGCGTTGAATGTCCGTAACCTGAAAAATGTAACATAAAAATGCGACGATTTTTATTACCTTTGTTTTTTTGGGGGAGGGGAAACAATAAAAGAGAATGATATTTCGGATCGAGAGTGTAACCCAATATTTCAAGTAAAATTTCAAAATATTTGCATAATATAAATATATGTAAATATATTTTCTTTGTGACGAGTAAACCGATTAAAAGTAAAACACTGTAGCTCAACATCACATTCTGTGACTAGCGAATATTTTTGACAACCCATTTATGTTGCTTGAACAATCGATTATCGGTTTATTACCACTTTCAGTTTCAAAATCACAATCAACAAAAAAAAAAATCACAAAATCAAAATAGTAAAAGCTCATAAAATTTAAAATTATTTCGATAACATTAAATCAAAATAATGTAAAAAGCTTTAAATTTTTTCATGTGTAAAAAATAGTTTAAAGGGTTAAAAAGATGTGAAAACACATTACAATATCAAATTACTTTTTACAACTCACGAACCGTTAACGCGTTATTAAATGGGTTTCGATAGCAGTGGGAAGTAATTCAACAATGGTTGAATATACGGTAGTGATAATAAATTTAGTTTGAGTAGCTAACAATATTCAGGGCGACAATATAACTTGGCGATATGTACCTATTGTGGTGAGGACCGTTGTAGCGTAATAAAATGCGCCAGCGAACTTCCACTGTTGGCCAGCTTTGTGAGGTTCCGTCTTCAGCACCACTGTTTCCATGATCTTGAAGTCGGCCTCGCTTATATTATATTTTCGTATGACCATTTTTTCAACGGCTGCAATTACAGAATAAAAGTGCAGCGATTAGATTCATATAGCTGCAATTCAAGAAAGACTCTAAAAGCGTTAAGATAATTGATAAAATGCTTGATAAAATAAAATAAAATCGCGTGTATGCTGTTGTATTTTATCGATGTTTCCAATTGAAAGCAGAGATCAGTGAATTTCTAGAGCTAAATAAAAGATAAACTGTGGTTCGGAACATGTCTTCATATATCTGACGAAAAATCCCCACGTCGAGATGACAAAAATTTGACATCTTTAATGAAATTGCATGTCATGTACGCTTTCCCCCTCGGACAAAGATTAAAACTTGTTTTTGTAATAAAAGAAAAAAGAAGGTAAAAAAGGAAAAACGACTGGCATGAGACTCAAGAATCACCACTCCATTCAACTTCCTTCAAGATTTATAAGACTTGCGAGAGACGTTTATTTATCAACGAGGCAATATATAGTCGTTACATTGTGTAAGGAGATCGTTCCTCTTCAACGATAATGCACGATGACTTTTTTATATTGAGTACTTCTCTGCATAATATATACAGCTTGTACAAATACCAGTTTTCTCATATACAAAGACATGTTTCATATAATGTTAATGTTCTAATGTCGCTTTTTTTATTATACGACTAAATAATCTATACAAATAGTAATAAAACAATTTTCATCCCAGACAATATAAAATAGCTAGAAATATTGTAAAAATATCTAAGGGATACTGTAATCTTTTTTGTGACGTTCTTTAAGTTTTCAGACATCTCTTGAATTTTTATTTTCTTCAGTCTATTCATTCGCAATCAGTGAAGTTTTGTTAAAACAAGATTAAAAGAAACTGTATATGAAAAATGATATAGTACGTATAATAAATTCAAAACAGAAACATAAATCAAAATCAAGAACTTATATAAAATATCTATACTTCTGAAAAATTAGTTTTAAACAAATTATAATGTATTATCCTTATTTTGTGCATTTAAATCTTTTCTCCAAAATTAAATATTATTATTCGAACACAAGAAAGTTAATTTCGCAATCAACACAATTTCTCATTTCTAATTATGATTTAAGCCGAGTCGTTTGATCGGTTTAAATCCGAGATGTTTTGTAAAACACAATACGAGGAAAAGAATGATTTACCATCTAATGCTTCCTTGCGTAATTTCTCCGTCTCAGACTCGAGCACGTCGAAGATTGCAGCACCGACGAGGAGATAGGTAAGCGTGAAGACGATTAATGATAAAGTCCGGACGTTTTGCTTCTTCATTCTCTAGTGAGCCACATGCTCACTAGCAGGGCCCCGGCCCTAATTACTTGCATCGCTCAATGAGGTACGATTTGCGTCATCGGGTCCATGACGAACCCCCTCTTCCGCTCAGTGACACTTGACGGGGGCCCTTCTATGCCTTACCTCTATGCTACAGACCTGGCACGCGATTTCTTATCTTCAGGATATCTCCTTCCTTGCAGTAGCATTCGTGCAGTCGCTTCCGTTCATCTGAAACTTTCATGCCTACATCTGACTGAAGTTTCAAACGTATTAAAGGATATATATATATATATAAACGCATTGTAATATATAGCAATTTATTAATAAATCGAATTAAAAATAAATCTCACTCTCTCTGATAAAATAAGAAGAAGCAACCGAGATAGTAATTGGAGCATTGAATCGATTTTATGATATCCGAAAGAGAGCCAATGATACGAACGAAATTTACGAGTTCCCTGTTACAGCGATACGTTGCGTTATTTTTAAAGATATGGGTCGTTTAAGAAAGCCCACGAAGATTGAAATCGATTTCATCCTATCTCATCCTCATTTTCGGAATCTTTCTGCTGGCTTGAAATTAAGACGTACGACACGAAGAGATATAATCGTTCCGACGACTAAGCGAGATGACCCGTTTTAAGATCCCTCTTTTTTTCCTCGTCGATGAAGCGAGACGCAGCCATTCTCTCACGATAAGGATTAACTAAGAGCAAAAAATGTGCTGATTTAAAAGAGGGCTCTCACCTGCAGTCTGTTCCGGGTTTTCCTTTAGGTACGACGAAGAGTTGAGCAGAATGATATGGCAGTGCTTTCGCTGCTCCCACTGCCACGTTCCCTCCATTCCTCAGCTTAGCACCCCACGTTTTCAGAGCCGACTAAAAAAAAGATTAACTTTTGATGAGTGACGAAGCACGCATTTTCGCGAAAAAATTCATTCCTACAAAATATTCGGGAAACAATGGTAGATAGAATTTATTTTGTCGGAGAGTATCCGATATCGTTTTTTCACTTAAAATATTCCGAATATTACCTATATATTTTCCCATCGAAAAATCGAAGCAATATGTTACATACAGTACACGATTCGATAATACAAATTATGTTAATCAATTTTTTGTGCAAAGGCGATAAGAACAGTCGAATAAAATGAAAATCATTAATTATTTGTTATTTTTTATTGTTATGTTTGACATAAAAACAATCGGTGAGGAAAAATTGTTGGAATAATTGCTATCTAAGATCAAATTGCATTGTAAACCTATATATACGTAGCTACTCATAAATATGTGAATAATATGTATTATACAATATATTCATTATCATTTTCGCAGCTTATTACATCTGACAACGAGGTTTGTGTGAACATGAACAGATATAACGTTCCATGTCGACTGTCGTGTTATACTTGTCAGTTGACGTGCACATTATACTTCGTAGTTTCGCGTATCCTGGGTATAATTAGTCACGATCATTTGCATTTCTAATTATGATTCGAAATATCAAATGGAATAAGTTTCATTCATGGATAAAAATATTACCAATCTATAGTTTGAGAAGAATCGATTAAAAGATCATATCTTCTTTTTCTGATTGTAATTTTAATTTTGTATAGAAATTTAGCACGAAGTCAATCTTCTCTTCTCTCTCTTTTTCTTTGATACTTTGCCTTATTTAGTGTGTAGAGGAAAATTACTATTATCAAAAATTATAATTAATATAAATATAATAAAACAAAGAATAACAGATTCTTGGAAAAAGTATAAGAAAAAAGATTATTAATAAAATAAAAAATAAATGAAATCAAACAAATAAATGCAGTTGTTGATTTAGGAAAGTTAGTAAATTTAATAGATTTTGCAGATTTCTAAGAGTTTTAAACTAGCTTTTGGCAAAAGTAGTTAATCGATCCGAATTAAATGTTATATTATTCATTGGCTTTCTAATTATCCTTTTAGTTATGTTCAAGGGAACGAAAATGTTAAATCCATGTTAGGATTAATGAATAGCAGGCAATATGCTTATGCTGCGAAAATACTGATAATAATGCACATTATTGGAAAATATTAAATGTTAATTGTAAATAATTAATTCTGATATCAAATGCATTTTTCGTCATAGTATAGCGAGGATTAAATAAACACATATGTAGCAAAATATTTTAAATCATGGATACGAAAAGTAACATTTCCATCACAAATTACAATCGGTGAGTTGAAATATCGATGCATTTATTCATAAAATTGGAAACACAATCGACGAAAAAGATTTGCAGAATTCATTATATTAAACTCACCAAAATCATACACATAACGTTTAATTATTACTTCAATATTGTTTACATCCTAAATTTTGAGATAATCTTTCTTTCATTATATTTTACGCTTATATTTTACGGAAATTCAACTTTTGCATATGTTTCCCAAAAAGAGGAAACAAAGCTAAGCGATTTTGATACATTAAATATGCAGAATATTTACATATAAACATATGTGCATACGTGCGCGTGCGTATAAATGCGTATACATATATCTTCATTGTATTCAGATGTAGCTTCATATGTATAGATATGCGTTCCCATTTTCTCGATAATCACGCATAAAAATATAATACGTAGTTTATTTTGGCAAATCTGCATCTAATTTAATTGCAAATTAACTTTCTTTGATGGAATTTGTATGTTCAACAAAATGCCAGTTTGCAGTGCAGTTTCTTGTTTTAAAAATGTTATAATTTATAATTAAATTTTTATATTAAAATATAATTTCTCTTGACCTCTCTAATCAATTTTTAGAAAAAGATAATTTAAGAATAATATGGTATATAAAATAATTAAAGAAAAGGAATAATTTATGAAGAATAATATATCTTTTTATATATTATACATATTATTTTAATTTATAATTTATTACGGTGAAAACAACATATTCTGCATTTGTCTATTAATTAATAAATAGTAGATAATAAATAATGTCTAGTAATTGCATCCACAAATTTTCAAATTTATATAATATCTGTAATCATCTAAAGAAAAAGATTATATATAACTTATAGCTTAATATAATTAATTCTCATAATCTTAATTTAGATTTGAATTTAGAAATTCAAAGAGATCATACATAAAATAAGTAATTTAGTAAATATCAATTAATTCAAAAAATTCATATTTATTATATATATTTTGTAATAACAAAATATATGAAACTGAAGAAAATAGAAAAAGAGAGGAGGAAACAGAAAGAGAGATGAATAAGGAGAGAAAACGAAAAGGAAACTTTGCAAGAGAGTATCTGGCAGGGAAATTCGAGATTCCTCATCATCCAGCCAATTCCAGATAAGCTCTGGCAATTCCGAAAGCAACGAGTCTAGCAACGTTGAGTCAAATCAAATCCTCTCAAATCCTCTCTCTCTCTCTCTCTCCCCTCCCCCTCTCTCTCTCCATCTTTTTCCTTCTCGTTTAAATTAAGGTTTGCGCGATAGCCGGTTAGATTGGCGTTAGATTGGATATGCCTGTGTTTTATTGAATTTATGATAAATTGCTACCGAAATTTCTCATTCGTGATGCGACCGATATTGAGGAGCGGAGAAAAAAAAAGGAAGAGGAAGGAGAAAACCATCTTCGCGCGCACTTAACCCGTGAAAGAGAAGCCGCAGAAATCCCTTCGTAAATCACGGTAACGATCGCGATTAGAATCACGGAGATTTCTTTCACGAGAGCAGGGAGAATCTGGTGAATACATTTAAAACTGATGTTTCCGATACGCAGTATTAACGCTGGTAATGATCGATGAACGCACAAATCTCTGACGTTCCGAAGAGGGTGACTGAATCGGCATTTACATCTAATTTGGAGGTTGAAATATTCCGTTTTTCCATTGCTGTCAAAACTAAAGACTAACAATAAGTAAGATATCTAGTCGAATTTTTAATATTCGCATTTTCTGTACAAAAAGAAAAAAATTAATGTTAAATAATAATTTACATAATGTTTTAACTAGTGTTCGTTGAATTGCACGATAATAATTTCAAGTCTAGCAATAAGAACATTGAAAACATAATTTCTTTGAACATATTTAAAGAATTGTATATATACATATAATATTTTTAACAAATATTAAAAAATTATAATATAATACTCTGTTTAATACCATATTTTTATTCATTTCTGTATCAATAAAAAATAATAAAGAATAAAAAAAATAAGAAATAATTTGAACCAATAGCTTTAATTAAAAGTAAATAAACATCTTAGTAGGATATGAGATCCTCTCTCTAAAGATGTGAGATATTATGATAGATGTTTTTTAAAGAGTGTAAAGATAATTGATTATTTTTTTATGCTCGTACAAGTTTTACTATTTAAATGTAAGAGGAAAGATAAACGCACTTTTCACAACAAAAATATTTTCCATCCACAAATTGCCACAGTTGAATCGAAAAGGTCAAGGACTGCAAGCTTTAAAGGAAGACATGTTACAATTCTGCGCTATCCATTCATTGTCTCATGATATCGGATCTTCATTGTTATACCTTTGAATAGGTCACGAGTTTAATAACACCGGTTAGTGCCATACTGTCCACGATATGAATACCGATTATTGTGTGCTCGATCCTAAAGGGTTGTTGCAATAGTGGTTTATTTGCTCTACTGAATTTAGCGAGATGGCGTTGTGTAAAGAACGATGTAAAAATCGTTTACACGATTCGCGCCTTCTTCAGAAATAAAGGATTTTCCTAAAAGCATATTAATCAGAATAAGTCTTTTGAAATTTTGTTACAATGTCGTATAATTGTATTTGTTTAATATGAGAATTGTGAAACGCTATTATTTTACAATTACAGGGAGAATATTCTGCTTCTAGAAAGAGATGATTTTAATATGGATTTTTAAATTGAGTTGTACGTGCGTAGTTTATTATTAAACGAATTGAATTATTTTTTTGTAAATTAATATTATATCTGTTATATATTATTCAAATATAAAAAAAATATAAAATAAAATATCTAGAGCAAATTAAAATCACAATTAAAAAAAGCTAGATATTTTACCTCTCTTTACATTTTCTATAATTTTTTATTTTTAAAAGTGTAATGATATTATAAATTATTTGGTGCATTGGAAAAATCTTTGAAAATAATGTATTTTATTGTAGATATTAAATATTATGTATTTTCGTGAATGAATCATGGAAATTCATTAAAAATCAATAAATAGATAAATATAAATTTAACATATATAAGATAGGCAATAAGAGCCAAATCGCGGATGACAGTGCGTTATTCTAAACGAAACTAAATTTTTTCGTTAGAATTAAATACCTGTGCACAAGGCACCAAATTTTTACTTGGACACGGCCAAGATATAAAATCTCTTATTGCCTATCTTATATATGTTAAATTTATATTTATATATTACAGAGCCTAGTTAAACTCTTAATCAATAAATAGATTTGTTGGTGGCATGTGCCACGTGCCCTGTAAATAATTACGGACTCGATCGAGATATACAGGATTATAAGGGTCAACCATATTTTATGTTACGCAGTAGGGACTTAGGGCGAAAATCATCTCGCTGCTATATGAGTATCGCGGAATCTTTGGACATGTTTGTGCCACGTGATTGCGACACATTTATCTTCATATGAAATCGTAAAGTTCACGTGTGGTCATATTTCCCACGAGTGCTGTGTTAGTCAAGGTTGGAGTTGCCTTTGATGGTATATTCTCACGACCTATCGTTTTATAAATCGAACTTTCATAAAAGTACACAACAGGTTTATGTTGAAGCCTTTATGTTTACTTATAACAATATTCTTGTCATAATAGAATAGAATTGGAATTTACGATAATTTTTATGTGTCTGTTATTATGTTTTATA